TGTTACTTTGGTCCCAGCTCTCTGCAGGTCATTCACCAGGTCCCCCCGTGTGGTTCTGGGATCTTTGCTCACCGTTCTCATGATCATTTTGACCCCACTGGATGAGATCTTGTGTGGAGCCCCAGATCGAGGGAGATTATCAGTGGTCTTGTATGTCTTCCATTTTCTGATGATTGCTCCCACAGTTGATTTTTTCACACCAAGCTGCTTGCCTATTGTAGATTCACTCTTCCCAGTCTGGTGCAGGTCTACAATACTTTTCCTGGTGTCCTTCGAAAGCTCTTTGGTCTTGGCCATGGCGGAGTTTGGAGTCTGACTGTTTGAGGCTGTGGACAGGTGTCTTTTATACAGATGATGAGTTCAAACAGCTGCCATTCATACAGGTAACGAGTGGGGGACAGAAAAGCTTCTTACAGAAGACGTTACAGGTCTGTGAGAGCCAGAGATTTTCCTTGTTTGAGGTGACCAAATACTTATTTTTCACCCTGATTTACGAATAAATTCTTTACAAATCCTACCATGTGAATTCATGGATTTTTTTTTCACATTCTGTCTCTCACAGTTGAAGTGTACCTCTGGTGCAAATTACTGACCTCTGTCATCATTTTAAGTGGGGGAACTTGCACAATCGGTGGCTGACTAAATACTTTTTTGCCCCACTGTAACAGCTATGACTTGCACTAATGAAAAGTCATGATATTGTTGAAATGATTTGATGAGATATATGTTCTTGCATAAAAATATGGCATTAACATCCTATTCTCAAGCACACTGCAATACAGAAGTATTGCCTATTAAATTTCCTTGTTAATATACAATATTAAATACTGTACACAGCTACAATCACAATCATAAATCATACTACCTGGATCCTGGACTACCTCACCGACCGACCACAGTATGTGAGGACTCAGGGCTGTGTGTCAGACAGGGTCGTCTGCAGTACGGGGGCCCCACAGGGAACGGTTCTGGCTCCGTTCCTCTTCACCATCTACACTGCAGACTTCTCCCACAATTCCACCCAGTGCTTCCTGCAGAAGTTCTCTGATGACTCTGCAATAGTCGGCCTCATCACTGATGGGGACGACAAGGAGTACAGAGGACTGACTCAAGACTTTGTGGACTGGTGCCAGCTGAACTACCTCCAGATCAACGCCAGAAAAACCAAGGAGCTGGTGGTAGACTTCCGCAGGCACAAGCATTCTCCACTGCAACCACTGAACATCCAGGGTATGGACATTGAGGCTGTGGACAGCTACAGGTACCTTGGTGTTCATCTGAACAACAGACTGGACTGGACTCATAACTCAGACACCCTCTACAGGAAAGGGCAGAGCAGGCTGTACCTGCTGCGGAGACTCAGGTCGTTTGGGGTGGAGGGCCCACTCCTGAAGACCTTCTATGACTCTGTGGTGGCTTCTGCTATCTTTTATGGTGTGGTCTGCTGGGGCGGCAGCATCTCTGCTGGGGACAGGAAGAGACTGAACAGGGTGATCCGAAGGGCCAGCTCTGTTCTAGGATGCCCTCTGGACCCAGTGGAGGTGGTGAGTGACAGGAGAATGGCGGCTAAGCTGTCATCCCTGTTGGACAACGTCTCCCACCCCATGCAGCAGACTGTGACAGCACTGAGCAGCTCCTTCAGTGGGAGACTGCGGCACCCACGGTGTGGGACGGAGAGATTTCGCAGGTCTTTCCTCCCCACTGCTGTCAGACTCCATAATAAAGACTTTAACTGAACAAACACACACATCCACACATGTGCAATAACACTAAGTGCAATAATCCTTTCTGGCATAGTTGTATTTTTACTCAGTTGTATATAGCATTCGTATTCTATTTTTATCTTATTGTATATTTTTATTCTATTTTATTCTACTGTATATAGTATATTATTTTATTCTATTCTGTACAGTTGTGTACTGTATTTATTCTTATTGTATTCTAATTTTTGCGTCATAACTTTTGCACTGTCCACTTCCTGCTGTGACAAAACAAATTTCCCACGTGTGGGACTAATAAAGGTTATCTTATCTTATCTTATCTTATCTTATAAAGTTGCACTTGTTTCCTTGGCACCAGCTTACCTGTAATCTGGCGAGCAATGTGTACACACATGTGCGTGTGTGTGAGAAAGACAACAAAGTAGCATATCAAATGAAGAGGAACATATGAAAGACAGAAGGCAAGGAGAGAGCACAGGTTGAGGGGTGGGGGGGGGGGGGGGGGGGTGGAACTACCACTGAGAGAGAAAGAAATACAGAGGGCCAGAGGGAGAGGGGAAGTGGGAAGTGGGAAACCCAATCTGTGAGTTTATGGGGCTCCACAGCACAGCAGCAAAATCAATTTGACTGCCACTGCTTCTGCTTTCAATGAGAAGCAAGGATGATGGAGTGAGAAAGTGGAGAAGCGAAAGGAGATGGAGAGCAGGATGACTGGACAAGGATGGAACTGTGAAGTCAATATGAGTGTGGCAGTAAAACGATGGTAAAAAGATAGACAGAATAAGGAGAGATGGAAGGGTCAGAGAGGGGACAGAAGAGAACGCTGAGGTAATGGATAGGAAATATAACACATGCAACTTGTGGATACAAGGATACAAGAGCATCTTTGAGATACACACTACATAAAACAAAAGAAAACGTGTCCCAGCCTATCAGATACTGACAAATACTGGGAAATTAAGAATAAATAACTAGATAGACAATTCAGTGTCTAAGAATTTAGAATTGTGCACTCAAGCTGGAAAGAACTACACTATACAAAATATGCAGTTTATTGTTTTTTTTATACACTGTATCTGCTGACAGTAATAGAAATGCATAGAGTGTCTGCTGAAGGAAGTAGAATTTAATAGCTTCTTTTTATGCATTATTAGTGGCAGTAAATGCACTCACTGCCTTGTTTTAGTGTAAGGAAACAATACATCTGGCCACCATTCCTCATTACCATCTTTCCTTAAAAACAGTATATTATCTGGAGTAGCACTTGAACTAATTAGCTGCACAGCTTATTAGCTAATTGCCAGAAGAGGGACAATGATGGCCTTCATATTACTATCAACAGGTACCAGAATGGCTAGAATCCAGCTCTTCCCCTTATACTGGCTTTGTCTTTGTTTGAAAAGCATTATAATCAGTATGGCTTTGTATAATGTAGGTGGACTGCAAAACTAATAGAAATGCTTTTATCTGCCTGGGAGAGATGCAGCTCTGGTACTATTGTAGACTTGTTGTGCACTGATGTGTGATCTCAGTGTGATGCTTAATGACACACAAGATGAGTTGCAGCAATACAAGTAGAAACTGTAATGTATTTGTGTCTGGGTGTTTTAGATAAAACAGACAAATCTTGAACATTTGGAGTATGGATAATAGAAAAGCCCACAGAAAAGCATAAATTGTTTTTGTCTCCTTGTCTGTTTGCATATCATTTTATTTATTTATATTTATTGATATGTTTTTATTTGTTAATTTGTTTGTTCCATTGTTTTATAATAAAAGTGTCTAGTATAGTGATTGCATATTCATAGCTTAGCCATGTTCTGCAGCAGCAACTGTGAGGAACATGTCATATCACACGTTCTTTTTTGTCTTTCTTTTTTTCTCAATAATTCACCTGAAAGTGAACCGACATGATAGATTGGGATCACCTCCTCAGTGTCATAAAAATTTGTTCAGTTAGACAGGTAGGATAGAGAAGTCTAGCACAGTTAAATACACACTATTTCCAGCCTACTCAAAAGGATACCCTAGGTTTTATTAACAACCATGCATTATATATAATACCCAGCCATTGCAGAAAAAGCTGCGTAACCACCCAGTCTAAGTAGCCCAATGTCACTTACATAATGTGTTGTGGGAAGGAATGTCAGGGAAAGGTAATAAATGGTAATATTTAAAATGTCAAAGTAAATAACATTGAAAATTATTTATTTCTTATAACCATTTTGTCAAAATCCATAACTTAAAGCGACCAGGAATTTAAAACAACTGCTGCATCAATTTTAAGTAACCGTGTGTATTTGTGTCAGTATGTTCCCTCAGCCACAGTATCCTAATTGTATCATGAAGGCTGCTACCTCCAAAATGGAACTCCTTATTTTCTCATTGCTGCTGACAGCCTCAGCCAAGAGGCTGCTATTTTTAAAAAGGAGTGGGTGACTGTGCGAGCTAATAAATGAGCTCACACACAAAAACAGACACACACACACACACACACACACACACGCTCTCACTCTCTTTCGCTCTCTCTCTCACACACACACAGACACATTCTTATACACAGATACATGTAGGCAAACATCAGTTTCATTAAAAACAGAAATATATATGTTCACCTTAAGTCAGTCATGCAATAACAGGCATTTTCAAAAACATCTGTATTTTCATATATTTATGCTACAGAGAGAAGCACACATATCTTCCGATGGTTAGAATAATGGATATCTTTTTATGTAAAGCTGTCCAATGTTAGTGTCACCACCTGACAACAGCATGCTGCTAAAACTCAGTCATGATCCAATGTAGCAAGAGATGTTACCACATCTGTTCTTGCACAGTAAGGGGCAGAGGGGCAAAGAGGAAGACATGAGAGAGAAAGAGAGTCACAGAAGGAGTGAGCAAGTACAGAGTTCCAACATGCCTTCGCCTTCAAGTTATTACATTGTCATTGTTTTTATACATGGTCAAACATAAAAATATCTGAATCATAAAAGATAACTCTCATGTGTGATTTCATCCAAAACTTGTAGTTCTTTTTTTTGCCTTCCTATCTCATAATAGATGCTTGACTTATAGGTTGGCATAGTGTTGCTACCTATTTAGTTTCCATTGACATCACTGTATTGTAAGGTTATTGAGTAGGGTCAAATGTATTAGTTATGATGTTGCTAAATGCCCAGTGCATATGTCACCTTTAAATGTGGCACAGTTACTTAGGACAACAAAGTGTTCACTAGAGTTAAGTATGGAGGGTTTCACCCCAAGTTCAGCACCCTGAGGATGTACGCTAAGAGGAAGGAAGGAAGCTGGGGAATGGTGAGTGTCAACACCACGGTCCAGGATGAGACAATGAACATCCACGAATACATCACAAAGATGACCCCAACTGACAGCGTGCTCAGTGAATACCTCAGGCAGCAAAAACCCAAGAAAGAGGAGGAAGGCGAGGAACCATCATGGAAGGACAGGCCCCTGCACGGTATGTACCACTGGCAGATAGCGGAGGTGGCTGATATCCAGAAATCCAACAGTGGCTGGACAAAGCTGGACTGAAAGACAGCACAGAGGCACTAATCATGGCAGCACAGGAACAAGTTCTGAGCACAAGATGCATAGAGGCTGGGGTCTATCACACCAGGCAAGACCCCAGGTGCAAGCCGTGTAAAGATGCCCCAGAGACAATCCAGCACATAACAGCAGGGTGCAAGATGCTAGCAGGCAAGGCATACATGGAATGCCATAACCAAGCGCCTGGCATAGTATACAGGAACATCTGTGCCGAGTATAACCTGGAAGTCCCGAGGTCAAAATGGGAGACGCCCCTCAGGGTGGTGGAGAATGACCGAGCTAAGATTCTGTGGGACTTCCAGATACAGACGGACAAAATGGTGGTGGCTAACCAACCGGACATAGTGGTGGTAGACAAACATGAGAAGACGGCTGTAGTGATCGATGTAGCAGTCCTGAATGATGGCAACATCAGAAAGAAGGAACACGAGAAGCTGGAGAAATACCAAGGGCTTAGAGAAGAGCTCGAGAAAATGTGGAGGGTGAAGGTGATGGTGGTCCCAGTGGTAATCGGAGCACTAGGTGCGGTGACTCCCAAGCTAGGCGAGTGGCTCCAGCAGATCCCGGGAACAACATTGGAGATCTCTGTCCAGAAGAGCGCAGTCCTAGGAACAGCTAAGATACTGCGCAGGACCCTCAAGCTCCCAGGCCTCTGGCAAAGGACCCGAGCTTGAAGGATAGACCACCCACAGGGGCGAGCGGGGGATTATTTTATATATATATATATATATTAGGGGTGCAACGATACACAAAATTCACGGTTCGGTTCAATACTTTGGTGTCACGGTTCGATATTTTTTCGATACAAAAAAATGTTCATGCTTTTTTAATTTGTCATTTATTAAAATTATAAATATATATATTTTAACTCAAAAGTACAGTTTTTAAATTTAATGTTGCTGAAACAACAAAGTAATAAAAAATAAATCTATCTGATCGAGAAATCCCTCATCTTTGGAAAAGAGAGTTTATTACAGAGAAATGGCTCTTTCCAAAATAAAAGCTATACTATCCGCTTCTTCAGGGGTATATTCTCAGCAGCATATTAAACATATCAGGTCCCCATAAGGAGAATCATGTGCTAACGGCTGTCTAAATGACTCAGGTAAAGTTTGTAGCATGCGTGCTTGTTGTTTTTGTCTGCTTCCACTTGTCTTTGCACTAGGATGATGTCTGCATAAATGTGCAGTCATATTCATTATGTTCCCACTAGTGCTGTCAGCGTTAATCTGAACGTTAACGCCACAACACAGCAAATCTCCGTTAACGAGCTACCGCGGATCACCCCTTGCTTGGGGCTGGACAGCGCAACACGTTAACGAGCTAACTGCGCTAACGCAGTAGTTCCCACCCATGTAATTGAGCATTGCGTGGCACATCCGACATACTGTTTTACTTTTGTCCATGACGCGCTTACCTTCAGGGTCATACGTCACATGAAAACCAAAACAGTTCCAAAGGCGAGATCTAAATGAGCGTGGGGGAGGTTCAATTTGCCATGTTGCAACGAGCTTAGCTTCTGTCTTGCTAGTTTGTGCTGCGCTCAGTGGATCTGCGCTCGACAGTGCAGCCTAGGCGGAGTAGTCGAACGCAGATCCACTGAGCTCTCAACACAGACAGCATCGTCAGAAGAAAAGTTGATAAAATAAATTAAAAACTTTGTATTGTTCGATACATATGCGTACCGAACTGAACCGAAAGCACTGTATTGAACGGTTCAATATCTACACGAGTATCGTTGCACCCCTAATATATATATATATATATATATGTATATATATGAGAGAGATGAGAGAAATGAGAGAGTAAAGTATTGCTTGACATTGACACAGTGACAGCGTATGGGTCATGTGTAATGCATTGTGTCTCTGTGCGCTGGTTCTCTGTCTAGCTCCACTCTCTTTTTGTTAGTGTGACATTGAAACTTGCTGCTTATCCCATGATCACCACTATCTTCATTTGTCTCAATTAACTACGACAGCTTTTAGTTTTCTAATGTCCACTTCAGTTAGCTGGTTTCACAACATTGCACATGTACCTATGTCAAAGACAGCATGTGGAAAGCTGCTACGAAAAGTTTGTAACTCTTTTGGGATCACCAGGGTTTCTGAAATGATCTTCACACAAGTGTCAATTATAAACACAAATCACCAACACACAAACTTGACTCTATTGATATTGTTAATAATGATAATCAATTCATTTAAAAAGAAAATTACCCTTACTTCTAGTTGCTTTCTTTCTTTCTTTCTTTCTTTCTTTCTTTCTTTCTTTCTTTCTTTCTTTCTTTCTTTCTTTCTTTCTTTCTTTCCTTTTTTTTTTTTAGATTTCAATCACTTGTTTATGTTTTGTTGTTTTGTACCTGGAGCAGCAAGACTTTTCTCGAGGACAGGAAGACAGGTTTTAATGTCCTACATTGCCATAGTCTATCAAATCCATTGGTTTTGTCTCCTCTTCAGCTCTGATGAAAAGAATCATTATTACTTCACACAAAGGTCGTAACTAACAGGAGTATGTAACCACAGATATAACACTCTGTAATCCAAAATTCAAAGAGACTTGGCCCTAATTATTATATTACCCTTTTTTGTCAAGGGTTCAAATTTAAAAGAAGTTTATTTATATAATAACAGTCATTCACTCCAGCTTTAGTACCACACTGCGAAAGGTAACAATCAAAATAGTTCTTATGTGGAACTTAATTTCTCTTATGTGGGATTCTATTTGGAAAACTTACCATCCATCTATTGGAGAAACAAAAGCACAACTGGACACATAAGCACATAAGGACACATGCACATGACTCATTTGTGTCAATCAGCTAGATCCTAAGTACCTAAAGCCTAAATGTGTCACTCTAATACTTTTCTCACAAGTTTTGTATCACATTCACCTAAATAAGTGTGAACATTCGTACAAAGAAATATGTTTAACAGCTTCCACAATGTCAGGAACAAATTAAGTCTAACCTAAAAGCACCATATGCTCTATCACCAACAAATATTATCCAATTTTCACACTTCTTATAAAATACTTTCCTTATGGAGTAGGACTGATTTCAAATGTGTTACTCTAAAGTGTGACTTTCTCTCCTTGTAAACACCAAAACATAAATTTGAATGTCATTCCAATTTTCTTTTGCACATTTTGGGCAAATTCTGATTATTATTATTATTATTATTATTATTATTATTATTATTATTGTTATTGTTGTTGTTATTGCTTATATTTAAGTGTTATTTATATTGTGTCAGTCAGTTGTATTGTTTATACTCATTACTGATAAAGTATAATTGTAATTGTTTCTTTTGAATAATTTCAAAGGAGATTAGAGGGCAATTTTTACTTCAGTCATGTTATTTTCACTTGAATTCGAATTTCTCTCTAGTTCAGTCAATACATTTTGGATTTTTCCTTCAGGCTTTAAAGAACCTCTGCTCAAAGTACAGGTTATAGTTATTTGAAGACAGCAGTAGTTAACATTTGTAGTGCATTTGTAATCTCCAGTGTGTGCTGTCTGTATTTATATTTGCTTTCAAGCTGAACTGATTAGGAAAAGAGGGGTAGTTCACAATGAAGACATTGAGTGGCTGCTTGCCCGCAGCACCAAAAGGAAGACAAAGATCCACGCAATAAGACTAGACACATCCTTGGGACCCAAGAAAAGGGATTTTCCACTAAAATAAGGGATTCACCAGTATATCCACCAAAGTGATCAATTTTAGTGTTTGCCATGTAAGCATACGCAATGTTGGCTTAGGACACAAGTCGATTTCATGTTACATAATCTCAAGTTATAGTTGAGAACAGAAAGCATTATGTGCAAGCCTGAGAGTAATTTCTTTCCCTGACTTGAAGTAGCACTTGGGCTCATTCTGAGATAGTGTCACTCTCTTTGTCCCTCAGCTCTGTTCTTCTGTCTTTTTCTGTCTTTCTGTCCTTCAGGTTTTCTCTTTTCACTAGTCGTGGGGGGGCAGTGTTCCCTTTTGTTATGTTGGACCTCCTTCTTGATTTGCTCCCTAGATGTTACCATGGAAACTACAAGACACTACATCACCTCAAGTAGAAGTTTCTCAGAGTGCTTGTCTGCGTGCTTGTTAATGTGTGTATGTGCGTGAGCAAGTGTGAATGTGTATGTGGGTGGAGCTCTTTGCCAAAATGCTGATACTGTATTTCTAATTTACTGACACTAAAATGCGAAAGTAGTAGATGAGAACTCAACAACCACGCCACCCGCCTCCAAACGCCTCGTCCACAAAACAAAAAACAAAAAAAACTAACTAAATGAAACAGACTTGAACATACTCATGCTTATGTAGTACGACTTATTTGTAAAAAGACACTGAATTAAAGTTTAGTGGATAGAGATTATGAAGTGTTACAGGGGTTACACTGAAAAAGGAGGAGTATCCCAGATCTGGAAACAGTTACCATGGTAACAGAGGTACAGTAGAGATAGGTTTAAGAAAAATATGGTCTTTGTGTCATTATTCTATGTCAGAGTATAAACACATCTACCTCAAATGATCTTGTTATCACACTGGCAGTTACAGATATGCTGAGGTTACACATTGACAAGAAACACAAACATCCACAGATAATACTGGGCGTCCTTCTTAAAAGGAAATGTTGCAAGTTACTGACACCATGAAAAAATAAAGGGAGAGTATGAAATTGACTCTAAAGTAAAGAATGAAGAAATTGTGATGCTAAGCACACTGAATAAAATCGATTGTGTATTAAGTCTATATGTGTTATGTGGCTCCACTGACTGAAAAGACAGCATTATGTCTGTGTAGATCTCAGCTCAGATCAGTTAGGCACCACTACTTT